GGATGACAGTGGAGCTTCAGAGATCTCCAACTTCTGTAAAAACTTCCATTATATAATGCTTATATTTGAGTGTCTTACAGTCTGGAAGGATAATAAAAACAGTTGAGAAGCTTGAATGAAGGCACTCTGTGTGGGTGGACAAGGGGACTTCCAGGTGCCATAAGGTTATTGAACAAAATCCCCATGCCACAGGTAGGCCACCTCCTGACACATTGTTGGCCAGGGAGATCCCTATGGACCTAGAAACCATAAGGGTCATTATTGCTGGTTGTATATCAGAGCTAGATGATAAGGTCTTATTGCTGAATGTAACACACTGTTTGGCTGCAGGATATAGGGAAATCAAGCAGACTAAGTTGGAAGCTCTCTCTCTAGTGCCGGAGGATACTGTGCAGGCTGTGGAAGAGCTGTCCTGCTCAATTTAGATCTTTTGTGCTACACTACCAACATGTCAAGCAAAGTGTGCCCACTGGTGCAATAAAGTTATGACAATTACTTTGAAACCAACTACTTTGTAGTTTAAGGTCTAGTAAATAGGGGAACTCATGTCTGGTACTATAAACTCTGGTAAAAGCCTATGGTTGGGAGGTTACAGGCTTTACTGGGGAAGCAACTTGTATTGATTTGTTTATATTATATATGCTTGTTAAATTGCCTCTAAACAGTCACGTCTATGCCCAAAGATTACTGCTATTGTCAGCCTTGATCATGGAGGGAAACTTCGTTTTTGCAGTGGGCAATGGTTATTGCACATATTCAAAACTGGATAAGCTGCTGCTACTAAGTGACTACTGCTGTGGCATAAGGGCCAAATTTTCAGCCATAAATGAACAAAATTAATCAGACCTCTAAATCAACCCCTCCCAAAGAACATCACAGGAGGCAGAAAGAATCCAAGATTCAGAGGAAGCGGTGGGGTGTTCTGTAACAATTTCCTCCAAATTCAAATATTCTCTCCTTGAGGAAGGTTTGTAAGTTGCAAACTCATGCCAAGCTCAGGAAGCTCATGAAATTTATAAGATTCATGAAATTAAGAAAGTGATGAAGTCAAGGTACTCTCCAAATTTATATATGCAATATACAATTACTGGAAAAGAGAAGACTTTGTGGAACTTCCTGAAAGTTAGGCAAGGAACTCTAGGGGTGCAACTTTTGGCTTATTAATGCTTCTCTAAATAACCCCTCACCTATGTTCTTATAATAACCAATAAACTCATTTGTTCATTAAGTTAGACTGGGATGAACTAATTTCTTTGGTCTCTTGTCAGTGCCCCATCTGAGGGAAACATAGTCTGTACACGTATCCCCAGAAAAACTCATGCAACAAAGGCAGAGGTTGGAATTACATCTGTATGCCATTATCAGAAGCTAGGAGGGAAGCATGGAATAGTTCTCCTTTGGAGTCCCAGAAGGAACTACACCTGTGCTGACACCCTAACTTTTGACCTTTTATTTCATTAAGGTTAGATGACAGATTTCTGTTGATCCACACCACCAAGTTTGTATTTCTCTACTGCTGTACCCCTGGGAAGCCAATACAAATTCTAAACTGCTTCCTAATAGCTTATTCATTGTACATCTCAGATTTTCATTTTATGATTTTCAATTGTAGTTCAATACATCATCTCTTATCTAGGTATAATCATTGTCTCCTAATGCTCTTTTCCTATTCTTCTGTTCCTCTAAACTATTTGCCACTATTTTGTAAGTGAAAATCAGATTCACAATTTTCTGTTCAAAACTTTCCAAGAAATTACAGGTTCTATATGCTCAAACATGTACCCAGCTCTAGCACCTCACTTCTTGATACTCTTTTCCTGCCTTAATTATACATTGTACACACTGATTTCCTTTCTCCCTCCATCCCTCCTTCTTTTTCTGACCAGACCAACTCAATTCCTTATTGCATAAACTCTTTGTCTGGGACAGTATTCCTCTATGGCTCCTTCTCATTGCATTTCAAGCTAAATGTCAGTACTGAATGGCCATCCTTGAGCACAAGAATTAAAATAGGTACAGCTGATCCTTATTAATTCTGTTGCATCATCTACATCAGAATGTGACCTTTACAACATGTGGGACTTACCATTTATCTCTAGTATGTGGGCAAGTGGCTGGCATAGGGAACTTCAAAGAATGTGTTTAATGATGTACAAGGTAGACTAGGTGCCTGTGCATGTCAAGCTTGTTTCAAAGATTAATAAAGAACATATGTTAAGTGTTGCCTATAAGAGAATGAGTGGGTATAAAAGATTAAACTATGGAGTCTGTTTAGAAAGAATCACAGGATTCTGAGATGAGCTAACACTTTTAATGAATCCTGAATGAAATCTGAGAAAGGAACCACTCATAAAGAAAGCAGAGGTGAGAACTCCCAAAAGACAAAGTAACAAGCAAATGATCTGCAGTCACAGAGTCCTGAGAGCTCCAGAAAAGTCAGTGTTACCACAGCACAAGGAAGCTGGAGAATAAGGGTAGTAGAGTCCAGATTGCACAAACACTTTCAAGGATGACAAGTTTATATTTCACTCTAAGTGAAATGACATGCCATTTAAGTTTCTAAATGACAGCATTTGACTTACAGTGTAGAGTTCAGCTATTCAAAATTATGTAAAATCTGCAGCATCAGCAGCATTTGAGATTAGTTTAAAATCTCTGTGAGTTCAAGGCCAGCCTGGTCTACATAGTGAGTTCCAGGACGGCTGGGGCTACAGAGAGACCCTGTCTCAAAAAGACCAAAAAAAAAAAAAAAATGAAACCGGGAACGTCAATCACCAATAAAAAATTGCCTTTTTACCAAAGACACCTAGCAAATTCATATGAAGTTCAAAGTTTGAGAAACAGTGATACAGGGAGTGCACTGTGGATGGGCAAGTGTAGATGACAGTAGCCTTTTAAAAGTTTCAAAGCCAGCCGGGCCTCCCTAGGGAGTTCCAGGCCAGCTGGGGCTACAGAGAGACCCTGTCTCAAAAAGACCAAAAAAAAAAAAAAAATGTAATCTGGAACGTCAATCACCAACTAAGAATGTGCATTTTGACCAAGACACCTAGCAAATTCATATGAAGTTCAAAGTTTGAGAAACAGTGATACAGGGAGTGCACTGTGGATGGGCAAGTGTAGATGACAGTAGCCTTTTAAAAAATTTATTTTTATTTTATGTGTATGCATATATTGCCTGCATGTCTTTAACTGCACCTGTTGTGTAATGCCCACAGAGGACAGAGAGGGTGGTGGAGCCACTGGAACTGGACTTAAGGACCATTGTTAGCTGTCATGTGGGTGCTGGGAATCTGCACCTGGGTCTTCTGCAAGAACAACCAGTGCTCTTGACAGCTAAGGCTGAGTCATCGCTCCAGCTCCTGCCTGTTTTTTGAAAATTTATTTTTATTTATGTGTATGAGTGTATCACTTATATGTAAATGTACCAATGTGTACAATGCCCACAGAGGTCAGAAGGGCATTGATTTCCCTTGAACTGGAGTCATGGATGATTGTTAGCCACCAAGTAGGTGCTGGGAACTGAAACCAGTTTCTCTGGGAGAGCACCCTTTGCTCTTAACCAATGAGCTAGCTTTCTGAGCAATTTCTCTAACCTGTTTAAAAGTTATGATAACTTACTTTAGGCTGGGTTTATTCACTGAGCCTCTAAAAAATCATTTTGGTATGGTGATGCATACCTTTACTTCCAGCATTCAGGAGGCAGAGGCAGGCAGATGTTTGTTAGATGGAGGTCACCTTGTCTACATAGTGAATTGAAGGACAGCTGTGGAGATAGGGAGAGCCTGTCTCAAGATGACCAAACAAATATCACAAAGCTTCTCTCCTCATTCTCTCCCCTCTTCCTACCTAATAAGTGATTTGCTTGATTTTACACAAACAGGCACATTAGTTGGTGTAGGTCTCTTAGTGATGTAAATGGAAAATTCAGTGTAAAGTGATGGTAGTTTGAGTTACTCAAAAAAAGGGGTGGGGGGCTTAAACATATAGATTTGTGTATCTATTGGGATCTTCCTTCTGGGTTTCAATGTTCTTAAAAAATGCGTTGAGTGTTTTGCCTCAAGGCATGTAGGTACACTGAGGCCAGCATGTGCTTCTTGAATTCTTCACTAAAACTCCTTTTGAATGTCTTAAAGTTTAAAGCTCGAGGATGAGCCCTCAAGCAATACTCTTCTTCCTCCACATATTCTAGGATTCTACGTTTTCAGGTTTCAACTAAGAAAGTGATTCACAAAGCTGTCCAGTTTTAAGAAAAAAAGCAGACTGCAACCTCCTGAGTTGCTGGGTCCATTTCTCCTGGTTCCCAGTTCTGCATTCTTTTTCTTTAAAATAAGTGTTTTCTATGTGTGGCACAGAGCTGGAAGTGTCCTTCTGGAGGACAGAGAACAACCTGCCAGAGTTGGTTTTCTCCTTTTACCACGTGGGTTCTGGGGATAGAACCCGCAGGTCATTTGCCTTGTTGGCAAGTGCCTTTACCAACTGTGCCATCATCTCCTTGGCTCCCAATTATGTACTCTTAAAAAATAATTACTCATCTGAAAGCTAGTTAATGGGAAGGAAAGGACAGAAGGAAGTGCCACTTGGGAGCTAGGTCAAAGGAAGAGAAGTTTCTTGCTTTATCACTGGCATCAGCAGAGTCAAATTCAATTTAATGATGTTCTCCAAGTCATGTCTCATCAATGGTGGTTTATTGGTTGAAAAGCTTGTGCAAACACAAAGGCCTTTCTTTCTTTGTCGACTGAATGGGGAATAGGAAAAGTCTTTGCTCCCGTTGTGGCGTCAGACATTCTCCTGGCAACTTTCAGCCTGGGTGATGACATTAAAACCCTCACCAGGTTAACTTTATCTACAGGTAAATGTTCTCCTCATACACTTCCTCTGTTTTAAAAACTGCACTAAGAAAAACCTCAGAAATGAAAGGACAGGGTAGCTCAGGAGTGAAGAGGAAGGCGTGAGCCAGTCGTGGGATCCGCCTTCTCACGGCAGGCCAGCAGAGACAGGGTTCCAGGTGGCTACCGCGTGAGTGGGCGGGAGCGGGCGGTGGCCTCCGCTGGGGACAAGCGTCCGGGCTTCACTCCGCCGGGGCCTCCGTGGCTATAAAGGGCAGGCAGGTTGCGGCTCGTCTGAGCTCGCCCGACTCCGCCCCAGGGGCTCGCGTTCCGCTCGACCCACTCGGGCCTCGGCTACTCAGGCTGCGGCGAAGATGGCGGCGCCGGGCGCTCCCGCGGGCGCTGAGAATGGCTCCGAGGCGCAGCTGGCGGCCGCCCTGGCTGACGTGCCCGAGCTGGCCCGACTCCTGGACACTGACCCGTACCTGAAGCCCTTTGCCCCGGACTTCCAGCGCAGGTACCGGGACCCCCTCCGCTCCCCTCAGCCCGCAGCCAGCCTCCCCCCCTCGCGAAGTTCTTTCCGCTCGCGCCCAGCCGTTTGCGCGTCCCTGGAGGGTGGAGCTCGGTGGGCGTGGCGCCGAGTTCACTCGGGGGCAGTTCGTGCCGTCCCGGAGGTTGCGTGTCCGCCCAGTAAACTTCCCTCCTCCCCTCCCCGCCCGCCAGGCCGCCATCCGGGACGTGCTGGCTTCAGCTGCGCTAGCTAGGTCTGTGACCGCAGACCAGCCTCGTGCTCTGGTCTTGTGAGTTAGTCGGACCTGACTCCTGGCGTGTGTGATTTAAGTTCACTTCGTAGCATTGCTCGTGAGTCCTTCAAGCAGACAGTGTTCCCTCGTGTTTGCTCCTGGTAGTGTTCCTCTCGCCTTGATCATCATGTTTCTCCCCCCTTAAAACAACCCTGATGATAGACGGATGTACAGCTACATTCCTGGAGTGACATTGTCTCTTGAGAAAGGGAGGAGGGTAAGGTTAACCATACTTGTAGAGCCCAATTCAAGATCCTTTACTTTGAGCTCTTCTCCCATCGTTCTTCCCTATATTCGTTCATCACAAATGAGAATTGAGTAATTATGATCGTCTCAGGCTTAGTTTTAAAATTAAAATAGCTATATACTAATTAGAGCAGTTGTGATCCCATTTCGAGTATTTGGTTGTAGCCACACTGATAAAGTCCTTGGTGAGTAAAACCCATTGAGATACAATCGTTTCTTTAAGCAGCATTACAACAAAATGAAACTACCTTAGCAACAGGATGCGCATAAACAATTTTAAAATAGAAAACATTTTGCTAGTTAGTGATTAACCAAAATGGGCCGATTAGAGTTTGAAAACTCCCCAATTAGTGTTGCCATGATTAAGCGTAGTTACTCCAGTAAGCCTCTAGTAAGAAACCCTTACTGTAGGACCTTGTAAGGGGATACAAGTTATAAACAGCGCATTCCGGAGTTTATATATCCTAATGAATGAGTCCTCAAAGTAGCAAGGCTGAACTGTTACTCACTTAAAGCAGGTGATTATGCCCTTGTATTAACCACTTGGGGAGGAATCTGGTGAAACTCAATTCAGAATGCCCAAATGTGTGCTCTTCAAAAGAGCACATCGTCTTCAAAAGTGAAAGTCTGGATTTAATTTCGAAGTAATAAAAAATTTTAGAGGAAGGTGATTAAAGGTGATGACCAGCCTTCTTCCATATGCTTATAACAATGATTTTACTTGTATGCTTTATAAAATGAAATGTAAGGGAGAGTTGTGGAAATATTTTGTGTGTCCTGTTCCACTTTTAAATGGTCACAAGCAGATAAATGTTGTTTGTTCACTTGTTCACTGCCTTTTATTTTCATGGTCCCTACTTTCAACTCGGTTGGGATTAAAACAATTATAGTCATCTTTCATGGTTTGTCAAAACTAATGAGGGGAACAAAAGCCAGAATAAAGAAGTGGGGGAATCCAGTGTTGACGGTGAAAAGTCTGGCCTGGTAGGTCCTTATGTGCTTTTCTGTGACCTGGATTCTACTTCTGGTCTTGGTTCTGGGTAATTGCCATTTTCCAGCACACATGTTCCATTTAGGCATGTCGAATAGTAATTTGGCATCTGGCAGTGGTGACTTTTATTGTTAACTACTGAATAATAAAAACTTCTTCCTTCATAGTCTGGTCCCAGATTACTGATTGCTATGGTTTGAAATGTTTCATTTGTGAAATTCAGGTGCTACCAATGTGTTAATTGAAGAATTGGGGCCTTTAAAGTTTGATTAGGCCACAAGGGCTCCTCACTTACAAATGGATTAAGGTCTTTATATCCACAGACAGCTCTCAGCCTTAGGCAAAGAAGTGTCTTTTGACAGTAGGCAAAGATCTAATCAAAGACTCAGAACCCATCCAAGTCTGAGAAAAAGAAACTGCTGAAGGTTCAGCACTAAGTGGGGCATCTATATTATCAGATTGATGCAAATTCTAATCAGCAAAGAGATCACACACTAATTTATTTGATTTTTCTTTATGATGCAAAGTTACTCATTAATTCTTTAATCAACCCATCAGAGTGATGCACTCTGAGGCTCAGGAGGCCCAGGAAACATCACAAAAGAGAGAGGTGGTGGGATCGTGAGAGCCAGAGGATAGGAAGACAGACTATAAATGCTATCTCAGGATGACTTGGCCCTGGCAATCCTGAGCACACAGCAGCTGAGACCACATGGACAGGACAGGCAGACACTCACAAAAGTAAGAGGGGGTAGTTTGGAAGAAGAAGGGGGCAAGAAAGCTAACAGGAAAGGGAGGAGGATAAAAAAAGGTAATGGAGAAGGAATATGATAACATTACATTGTGTATAAGAAGAAACCATCAAAATTTGGAAAACCCAAAAAACAAAAAAAACAAACCTAACAACAACAAAAGGTTTGGTACAGTTTTAGGCCCTTTTGCCCATCTGCCATGTGTGTAAAGACATGCATATCTACTCTGGTGAATGCAGCAACAAGTTGCCATCTTGGAAGCAGAGAAGAGCCCACACCAGACAACCTAACCTACTGGGATCTTGCTCTTGGATTTGTCAATCTCCAGAACTATAAGGAAATAATTTTCCCTTTTTGCGAATTACCCCATTTCATGTATTTTGTGGAAAGCATAACAATAGACTAAGATTTTCTGTATTTTGTGTCTGTTTAGCAACACTTTTGTTCAGTATGTCCTTGGCCTAACACAACCAGTCAACCATTTAGGTGCAAAGTATGCTTACTAAACAATGAAGAAAATTTGAGGTGTATAATTAAAAATATGTAAGAATAGTGACGGGGTGACATCTTTTCATTGATGGACGGTCTTTCCCAATCAATATTTCTTTTGAAATTCTGTTTTGTGTGTTCTTTTTGCCAACTCTGAGAGTTTGGAATTAAGTGTAGAGGATAGTGAGTTACTTTGCATAATAAAAAAAATTTAAGTACATTGGTGTTTGATCACCTCCATGCTGTCTCATCGATGGCTTCCTAAGATGGCATTTTCCATTCAGTGCTGCTTTTTTATTTTTCTTTATTCTCTTTTAAACCTGTTGCTTTTACTCCAGTTAGTTTTCTCCATAGTTATTCAGAGCATTTGATTGCGGCATGTTGCATGGCCTTGTGAGTTGGCCAAAGGGTTCTCCTCACAGTAGTCATTCAGCCATCTAGGATTATGAAGCATTCTATTTTGAAACCTCCTCCACAATAATAATGTCATGTAACAGAGAAAATGAAACTGTGACTTTCCTTTGGTCTTTGCCTATCAGTGAGCCCTTTCTGTTGACCTGCTGATGAGAGCAAGTCAACTTAACTATGTGCTTGAAACAGAGAACTGACATTTGTGAACACTGCTCAGAAAAATACAACCTCTCTATCACTAGTTGGTATCCTTTGTTTAAAGTTTATACAGTAATGCCATGTATAGCCCTTTTTCTTTCTTTCTTAAATGCTGCTTAATTTCTGATTATAGATTGTTTCCTTAGACATTCATGTTTTCCATGTAGGTCTCATCTCTTGAGGCTGCTCAAATCTGTCTTCATCCCTGCTATTTCCAACATAATTCTAATGGTCTTCATTTCAATGTCCTATATGTGCAAAAGTGATCATCTTCAAATCCTAATGTGCAGATTTTCATTTCAAACCTGTTTGTCCCTTCACACCCTATCTCAGCTATTTCAGTCTCAGTTGTATTGTCTTCAATTACCAACTGCTCAGTCTTTAAACTTAGTGTGTGTATGAATATGTGCCATTTACCCTTTTTTTTTTTTTGAGTCAAGGTCTCTGACTAGGTTGGAACTCACCAAGTAGGTTGGCCAGTGAGTCCCAGCCAGGATAACAAGTGTGTGCCACAATATATGGCTTTTTCCCCAGGGGTTCTGGGGACTGAGCTCAGATACTCTTGCTTCCAAGGCAGTCACTTTACCCACTGAGCCATCTCCCAGTCCTGACCTGTTCTTAACTACTTTACCCTTAGTCTGGGCATTTGTGTCTTCTGACTCTTTGAAGTATGAACCACTTTGCATGACTACTGTTATCTGATTTCAAGTTGCTAGCATAACTAGCCTGATCTATGAGAACAAGCTCAAAGCATTTTCACCCACTTTATTTATTCAACTCTTCTTCATTTACAATAGAATGAACTTTGAACAAGGCGAATGATTATGATACTATTCTGCTCACTCCATTTCAACAATTCCTCATTTCTGTTAAGGTATATAACCTACAAGAGTCTTCAGTATCTGGACCCTGTTGATCTTTCCAGTCTAATCTTTGAGTATATCTCATATCCCTCCCCCTCCCATACAACCCCCTTAGTTTGTGCTATCTAACTAGAGGGACACTGAAGACATTCTATGAGGTATACTTAATTACTCCTAAAATTAATCTGAAACATATCATTTTCTACTTGTATTGCTTTAACCTTGAATATTGAATATTTTCTTTTTTTTATTATCTGTATGTACTGAAGAAGTTGGGATGTGAATTTAGAAAAAAAACCAGTGATTAAGAGGCATCAAGAACAGAGAAATTTCCTGTTCTTTATTGTGACTGTTTTAGCTTAGTAGGAGTGACTTAGTAAACTTTTTCTTATATTTGCTTTTCTTAAAAAAAATAGTAACGTATCATATGTGATGAATATTTAAGGGTAGAATCTTGAAGGTATGCTAACATACCATCCTTTAATGGATAATATGTATTTTGGTCTAATCCCAGGTCTGGCTGTGCTTTTGTGTATACTATGATTTCTGCTTCATGCATTTTTTTTTTTTTGGATTCTATTGATGACAATATTCTATATAAACTTTAGGACACAGCTTAGAGATATGCTATTTCCTTCCCTGACTTCTCCCCATATGTAAGCTTAGAGATATGCTATTTCCTTCCCTGACTTCTCCCCATATGTAAAGTTTATAATGGAGAGTGGCTTTCTGAGCCCACTTAGTTAGAAATAATAGTGAGTTTC